ACGGACGAAAAAAAAAACCTTCAATCTTCCACATTTTGATGAAGTTACATCTATCTACAGGGTAAAGCAAACGGACTTGAAAAACCTAACAAACTCTTCCGTCTGCTGCATCTAAAAGATGGATCGGATGATCCTTCACGGCCATAGCGAAACAGTATCTCGCTGGATCATCGAAGCGCGAGAATGGGAACCAGCATGTCGACAAGACGGCATCCGCGGCCTCAATTTCTTGAAATGGTTTCCAATCTTTAGTATGTGAATGCTTTTCGCTTGAGTCGGTCGATGGTACAAACTTATCGAGATCTTTTGATGAATGACTACACATGGGAAGTCAACGTCGAATGTGTGAGTCAATGTCACATTATTACAACCATAAAACTGATACAAAAAAAAAGCTCACTTGTTGAAAAGACGTATAACCCGATCTTCTGCTTCTGTGAGGATCGTTGAACCATCTGATGACCTACATCAACCCAAGCCCAACGAAGGTCATTGAGTCAATTGCATGTCCTTTGAAAATGAAATACGATGGGAGTTATTTTTGTTTTTCTTGTAGCATGGACCTCATTCCCCTGTAGGCGGGCTGAATTGAAATGTTGGCGCGTCTATCACTCACCACTTAGCGCATCGTAGTAGATTGTGAGGTAAAGATGATCCGAATGAATTGGAGGTGGCGAGCTTCGTAGGCGTGTTCGAGTGAAACCGGATACGTGTACCGATAGATGATGCGCTGGGGACTGGAGGAGCTTCGTCATCGGCTTTCATCCCGGAAGGGTGACTAGTGTCCTACCTCACGAGGTTCGATTGATCGTCGTTGAAGTGACGGTTCAAAAAAACTTCAAGAGGGCTCTTCAACACGGGAAATACTCGAGCTGTCACATGTGTCCTCGGGATCGGGGCGCCTACACTGAGTGGTGACGTCACATGGACAGCTTGGGCTTGGTCCTTGTTCCAACTTCTTAAGCCTGACGGTCACGAGTCTTCCAAAATGGGCGATCACCAGTTCCCGTCTCACTTTTAATTCACCAGCTCATCAGAATTACTACAAACTCACCGTAACCCTTCTCCGATATCATCATGGTACTTCGTCCTATTACTTTGGCCTTCAAGAAATCTACTCAATCAAGAATTGGATCACGCGTTTTTTCGATCACCAGCTCTCGTCAAGAAGCCACCAAAGTAAGCTCATTCGTGCCATACGACTGGGAGGACCCCTTAAGACTCGAGAAAAGTCTACTGAAGGAAGACGAAATTGCGATCAAGTAAAAGTCTCGGTTTCTTCTTTTCCCAGCTCAATTAGTGCCCTGTTATATTGATATATGTTCTGATACTATGGTTTCAGGGAAGCCAGTCATGAATACTGCCAAAGCAATTTAATGCCTAGAGTTCTGAAAGGACATAGGAATGAGAGTCAGTCATCTTGATCGTTAATCTTGAAGTCCAAAAACTCATTGATGGTAGAAATTGCCTTCCTGTAGTCTTTGATCGTACCATTATGTCAGAAATGGGAACACTTGGATTTCTTGGACCTACCATTTCAGGATATGGGTGTGCAGGTGTTCGTGATCTTGTGGGATTTTTTGATAGGGAATGGAGTAGACACCTTGTACTCACAGCATTTTTCTTTTCGCGGCAATGATTAGGTTTCAACTGTTGCATATGGACTGCTTGCGCGTGAGGTCGAACGTGTGGATTCGGGTTACCGATCAGCTATGAGTGTACAGTCCTCTTTGGTTATGCATCCCATCAGTAAGTCATTATATCATCTGGATCTACATTCATGTATACTCGGATTAGATCCTAATTCCACATTGTAGATGAATTCGGGTCAGAAGAGCAGAAACAACGTTATTTGCCGGAGTTGGCCAGCGGAAATATGATTGGTTGTTTTGGCCTCACTGAACCCAGTCATGGATCCGATCCTTCCGGTATGCTGACTACTGCCACTGAAGCTTCCGATGGTTCAGGTGGATTCGGTATGTGCAAATCTTTTATATACTGAAATTACTCAGTCGAGCTGAACCTCAAATCTTGTGAATTTACTTTCAGTCTTGAATGGAAGTAAGACCTGGATCACCAACTCGCCTATCGCAGATGTATTTGTGGTTTGGGCTAAGTGCAAATGGGATGGAAAAATAAGAGGGTTCATATTAGAAAAGGTAAGGGACATAGATAGGCATGTTCTCGATGTTTTCATTCTCTCATCATGCTTGTACACTTTGGAAAATCTCATGCTACAGGGAATGCCAGGTTTATCGGCCCCAAAGATCAGTCACAAGCTCGCCCTAAGGGCAAGTATCACCGGTTCAATCTATATGGATTCGGTACCTGTACCTTCCGGAAACATTCTTCCGAAAGTGAGTGGATTGAAAGGGCCATTTTCATGCCTTAATAGCGCTAGGTTAGGGATATCCTTCGGTGTGATTGGTGCGTTGGAAGATTGTGTAAAGCGGACAAGAGAATATGCTCTGGATAGAGTCCAATTCAATCGACCTTTGGCGAGTTTTCAACTTGTACAAAAGAAGTTAGTAGATGCCAACACCGAAGCTGCTCTTGGACTATGTGCCTCCATCCAATTGGGTCGAATGAAAGACGAAGGGACCTGGTGTCGTAAGTTTTCAATATTTTTCGTACTTTATGTATTACATGTATTGATTCAAGTGGTATTTTGAACTTACTTATAGCCGAGATGGTATCGCTTTTAAAACGGAACAATTGCGGAAAAGCATTACATCACGCGCGGGTTTTGTTAGACATTTTGGGTGGTAATGCGGTTTCAGATGAATATCACTTGGGGCGAATTGCTGGAAATTTACAGGTCGCCAATACGTATGAAGGCACTCATGTTAGTCCTCTATAACAGTTATGAGGGTCTCATGAATTGCGGCTTTGACTCAAGGCTGATTTACATTTTTGATTTGTAATACAGGATATTCACACATTGATACTCGGCAAAGCCATGACTGATCTTCAAGCCTTTTCATAAACTGTGCTTTTGGAATTAGTCTTATTCTGGCTTAAATTAGTTATGATAGGTTGTGATTGATTATTTCTTTGACCTGGGGTTGTATGATTAGTAAGTAGCCAGGAAAGTTTCGTTTTGACTTGGTTTGATATTTAGTACCTGATTATTCATTATCCTGTAAAGCACTTTTCTTTATGTGATTTTTACATTTCTATATGCAACAGCAACAATGCATTTGAACCTCGTTTCCAAAAATTGTCAAGAGTTCCCACATAAAACAAGGATATGTTTTACATATGATCTATTAGGTAGTATGTACTTCTTGGGGTCACTCTTTCAGTTGAAGAAATGCACTCTGGTGATCAAGTTTTGTGTATTGTTAAATGAGGCCCTGGTCAGCTCAATACTGAGCTTGGGAAGTAAAGTTGCCCGTGTGGTGTTTTTCGCCCTTATTCCATATAGGCTACATTGACCCGGACGTTCAATGATGTCTTCCCTTGTCTTCCTGTTGACGTATATAGCAATCCGAATGCCTGTTTTGGAGTTCACTTTTGGCTGTGCGGAAGTTGAGCATTGGATGCTGGTTTGAGTTGCACAGAAGGAGTAAGGAAACCGTAATGAGGCTGGCCAAGCTCTGTCAATGACAGCCTCTGTGTCAGCCTTTGACTGCTTTAGAGAGAAGGCTAAATAGAAAGACTAAAACCCCATACCTTGATAAGCCGCAGGGCGGGAGTTTTATTTACCTAAACTTGTTGTTGGTTTGAGTGAGGCTTAAACTTGTTAGTGATTTGAGAGAGATAAGGACTTGTGGTTGTTCAATCTTATCTACAGTAGGTTGTTAGTTCCTTATTGATAAATGAAATTTGAGGTAGAGTTGTTAAGATCTCTTGTCAATGAATGAGACAGGACATTTATCTACAAGAGCCAGTTCTTTGTAATACAGGCTTTAAGCTGAAGGTGATAGCTTTTATCTCCTTTCTGGATTTGTGTTCTTGTCTCCAAACCTTGCAGAGTCTTCACAGTCAAGTGATCCTAAGAGAGGAAGTTCAACCATACCTTATCTGAGGGATCTTATGAATGTTCTCTTATTTACACCTGTTAGACCTGGCACTATTGAGTAAATACTTATTTATGAGTCCTCCTCAATGTTATGCTAGTGGTTCTTGGTTTTGGTTTGTATAATAAAAGGTGAAGAGAGAGAAACAACTTCTAAGTAGGAGAGAATGGTTTATGTACCCAACAACTCACTTTTGTGATATGGCTAATATGTGGTTCAGCCATTACTTCACGGACAGGACCTGTAATGTGGCTCCTGTCATAAGTATTTTATCATGCTTATGACTCTTGAAAATGAGCCTGAGGTGTGGTTTCAATATTACACTACTATTCCTGTACGTTACACTATGTATCTTATATATGTGTACAATATGTATCACATCCCTTACACATGATCCTGTCTCTTTTCAATCTATGGGACTGCTGTGCAGTCCTCAGGGCTGGCACTCATACAAGTTCATTCTATAGCAGTAAGATGTGTAATGATTTTTTTTTTTTTTTTTTTTGGTCGTCATATAATTTATGTTGGGTCCTACTTTATTTTATCATACATGCATGTTGATTCAAAGGTATCTTTGGATCAGGTTTGGGTACCTCAAAGTCAGATGCTTAAAAACTATACATGAAGTCATACCCATATGTCTTGATTGGTAAGTTGATTAATATCTTCCTTTTGTAACCCTCCAATCTCATTCTGGGATTTTTGCTCATGTTATAGATAGATTGGGATATACCTTCACCCCTTCAATCTTAGTTATGCCCACATGGTCATAACACTTACCTTAGTTGAACAGTTTACATCATATCACAAGTATTCCACATGATACTACAGGCTTAGAAATCCAGACAAAACAAAGGCCCCCCCCCTCCCCTTTTTTTTTTTTCTTTATGACAGATTGGCTCTCACAGTAACAAGGCCAAACTTTGTCTGAGACACACAACAACACACTAAAATGTCAAAAAAAAAGACAAAAGAAAATGCTGGGAGTGGGGTTCGAACCCACGCAGGTTTCCCTACCAGGAATCATCAGGCGATATAATGCCCTACTTAAATCTGGCTCCTTGGACCAACTCGGACATCCCAGCTTAACGCCGGCCTCTGTAGTTCCATAAAAAAACAAAGCACATAGATACTCCTTGAGCTCAGTGGAAAACGATCTATCGGTATTGATATCACCTCTTATAATTCACCAAGACGAATCCACAGCACATTTGCTTCGTTCGTCAGATCTGTACAATGCTGAATAGTCTGAACGATACGAAAGTGGAATGATGAGAGGAACACAGGGTGCGAGAGGGTCACGCCTGATGAAACAAGACCTCAAGCCTTTTCATGAGTGCGAGTCTTCCTGGCGAGGAGGTAAAAGGCTGTGGGTACGAGAGGTCCGTGCGTCCATTGATTCAAGTGGCTGTTATGTTGCCGCGCTAGATGGCCTTTGTCAAGCTAACTCACATATGATGTCGAGGAAAATCTTTGATCGTCTCGTTCGTAAACATGGGCAGTGGGGGGTAAAAGACTTGGCAGATGTTACAAGCTACGGTGCTGTCACTATTCCGCCCGCAAGCCCCACTGTTAGCCCACTCTTGAAGACCTCGAAGGTCGGTGGCACCTACCCCCTGGAAGAGCCTGGGTGGGACCTCCTCATAAATGACTCACAGAACCATCAGCTTGAAAAGAAGCTGGTGTGACTCAATTGACTTCTGCATGTCAGGGAACCCCAGATTGCGAAGGGCAGAAGAGAACACTGGAAAGACCGGAACATTTTGGGGCATATCTAGTATGCAAAAACTACCAAGTTGCATGCAAACATATGAAAAGGTTTCATTTCAACTGATTTCATGTGGTAAGATGTCCAGCTCCCAATCCAATCCCTGCGAGCTTGGGCGGTTGGTATAAGCGTGCGAAAGCTTTTTAGTACGACAGGCATCATGTACCAGGTCATGAGAAACGAAAGTGACGGGGCGCGAGCGAACAACGCTTAGAAAAGTCGGGCAGGTTTGCCCATGGTAGCCTTCAGGTGGAGCGACTTGACGTTTTGCCAGTCTGCAAGATAAAATGACACAAGAAGATGACAATGGGTCAGTGAGCTGATCGGGAGAGAGGGACGTGGCTACAGACGTACTTTTCTTCAAAAGAGAGACCAAAAAGTTGATGGCCAACATGGTGTTACCGAGAAGCTGATCTTCAGTCATCTCAACGTGACCAACAGCGACACCGAGACAGAGGACCTTCTTAAGCTGAAACTTGATTGTTGACTTGATGTCAGTAACCTTGTTTGTCAGGTCGTCGGCCGAAGACACAGGCGTGGGGAACTTTCCGGCCTTGGAGAGACCGGGGCCGAGCAGACGGGGAATCTGGAGGGAGAAAGAGTGAGAATGTGCATCTGAGCGCATAACAACGACGCTGGGAATAGGGCTGCCCATATACCTGCTTGATCAATGCATCGGAGGCCAAGAAAGCATCGTACTTCTTCGCAAGCTTCTTCACCAACTTCTTGTTCTTGTTGAGCTTCTTCAAATCGTCGACGCTCATATATTCTGAATTGGTAAAAAGGCGGAGAGAAGCTTAGTCAAGGGCCGGTCAAGGACGAGCAACTGAGGTGAACGGGACAAATGCAATTACCAAGGTCAATTTGTTTTGCTCGGTCGATATCAGCAGCATCGGCCAAGATACAGACTGTCATTCGGGGACGGGGAACATGGGAGAGCTTGATGGTGCCACTGAAACGCTTGTCTCGTTGAGGGTCGTAGTTCTTCAACCCAATTTGGAGCTCGCTGGAGGGAAAGAATGGTAAGAAAGATTGACTTGAAGTACATTTTGCCTTTCAACTAACACAGTCTCCGCGAACTTCCGCTTCTTCTCCCCATTGCTAGCCTCGAGCAACTCCCGGATGGATGATCGCACGCTTGACACTGAAATTTTGCTAAGTTCAAGAATCCGGGGAACATACGGGTAAGGACCGCCTGCGTGATAGAGCTAACAAAGAGAATAAACAGGGCTGTCGTGCACATACCTCATCCTGTCTAGTCTTGAGGGGGTCGGGATCGATGATATGCTGGACTGGTCTGAGGCAACGCAAACAGCCAGACGACTCGGAAGTGTGACCTGACTGCGGTCCGTGACACCTCTATCATCATTAGGGTTAGAAGCACCCCCATCGGTCTGTACCGGTCCCAGCCAAAGCGACCCGCAGCAGCCCTCCCCCGCCGACCGACATGCTACAGTGTCGTCAACCCAGTTACTGTCTAAGAGCATCCGCAGTGGTGCGCTTCTATCTCTAAATTTAGAGGTCGGCTACCAAATCTGTGAAAAAACCCGTGCAGTGGCAGCCTCTATCACTAAATAATTTAGGGGCCGCCTCCAAAGTTTGACCTCTGACCTCCAAAATTGGGGAAAGAGAGGCAAGCAGCAAATCTGACCACTCGCCCTACCCCATACCCACAACACATGTACACACATCAAAGTGCGTGTAAACAAAGTTACTGTGACCATTAATCGTGACCCATACCTGTCAAGGATGGGAGTCAAATTGTTGCACCCCAAGTGTTTGGTAGGACAGTGAAGAATGTCTTCAAACCTTTCATCTGAATTGCCACTGTGTCTCAATGAATCTCTATTCAGATTCAACTCTGAAAAATCCCTTGAGATGAGACTCAGGACTGGTAAACTTATGTGTAGTGGTCATGGTTAGCAAGTAATTGTTGTTTTTGAGAAGAGTGTCAATTAAAAACCAAAGATCTGTTGTTTTCTTTCTCTTTGAACTTCTCATTCACGTTGTCTAATGCTTACTGATCCAGCATCTTGTCTTACATGTAGAAGAAGAAAATCATTGATTCACAGACATACCAAAGAACACTTGAAGCCAAATGAGAGCCATTGGCTCCATCAAAAGTGCCAGTTTAGGTCTGGAACTAATTGAACCAAGTCCCAAATGTTCCTCAGTAGTTTGTGAGGACCAGTTCTTGCCAAGGAACGAGGGACTTATGGCGTGGAAGGTTTTGAAAATGATGCTCCACTTCCACTCACTCCCAGCTTATGCCCCCAAACAAAACTTAGGAGTATTGAAACTCCTCCTTCTTTGAAGGAGATCCCCCTTTTCAGTTTCCCCGAAAAAAAAGGGAGTCAAGGAAGAAGATTCCCTTGAGAGGGAATCTTTGGTCCTCTAAGAAGGGCTGACCAGCTTCACATCGCACACAGGTGTAGCCATTTGTAGTTCGAAATTTGAGCCAAAATCATAGACTCTAAGGAATTCTGATGAATTATGAGAGAATGGATGATTTGTTAGATCAATTGATGAATCAGAGGAATATCCATCCCTCGATTCGACCATCAGGTTTGTTTATGTTCAATCAAGATCAGTTTTTTTTTTTAATAAAAATTGCTTGATGGGAGGATTCCAAGGGGACCTTCTTTAATCGCTCATTTCGGTTCAGTTTCTTTTGCACTAACCAAATATCCAACTAACTCATATCGAGCCCTTTTGGTTTTCAAATCCAGCGTGATTTTATCGATCACCTTATCAAATGCACTGTCTTTTCTTCAAAACTAGGTCCACATGCCCTGTTTTGCCGTACATTTATGGGATACAAACCTATTAGCTTAACTAAGCCCCTCCCCCTCCGGAGGAGGGGCTTATAACAAAAGCCGAACAACTGGCCTGAGAGCGACAGACTCTGAATCACTGCCTGCCTAAAGTCCCCATTTCCCGCTTACCCCCCTTATCAATCTTTTTGGTCCAAAAACCAAAAAGTTGTCGATGGCCTGGGTACATATGCCCATGCCATCAAATCCCCCTTCAATCAGGAGTGTGAGGGCAGATTTTGATGGCAAAGGAAATCGAAGCACATTCAGGTATTGTACCTTAGCGTATGTAGCTTGCTGCGGAGTTTTATAACTCGATGAAACTGGGCAGATTCATCGAATTCCAACAGCTCGGATTAAACCAAGCTGAAT